AAAAAAACAGAGGGAAAAAAGGGAATAGAAAAGAGGGAAAAAAAAGAGGGGGAAAAAGGGAAGAGAAAAGGCAAAGAGAGGGGGAAAAAGAGAAATTGGTCCTTTCCTGCCAGACCTCGTGGACGTGACGTCGGTGAATCCCGACTTCCCGGTGTCGGATCCCACCGTCTTCCAGAAGCGCTACCTGAAGAAAATCCGGGAGCTGGGGGAGGTCAGTGGCGCCCTGAGATTCCCACCGGGAATTGTGGACCTTCAATCCCTAATTCCAGCCTTCAATCCCTGATTTCACCCCTCAGTCCCTATTTCCACCCTCCTTTCCCTCTGAACCCCCCCCTTCCATCTCCCGCCTTCCCTGACCCCTCCCGGCCCAGGGACCCCCTGCAAACCTTCCCCCTTCCCTCCCCAAATCCCGAATTCCCGCCTCTCCCCGCTCCAGGGGCACTTTGGGAAGGTGGGGCTGTACTGCTACGACCCCACCAACGACGGCACCGGGGAGATGGTGGCCGTGAAGTCCCTGAAATCCGGGAGCAGCCCCGAGCTCCTGAGCAGCTGGAAGAGGGAAATCCAGATCCTCAAGACCCTCTACCACGAGAACATCGTCAAGTACAAGGGCTGCTGCAGCGAGCAGGGTGAGGGGGGGCCCTTCCGGGCGGGAATTTTCCGGGATCGGATCCGCGGGAAGGTTGAAAACCCCAATTCCCGGCGGTTTTTGGTGGGGAATCTCCATCCTGGCGGGAATCTGGGGGGTCTCGGGGGGGTCCTGCCCTCCCCACGAGGGTCCCAGTGCTCTGTTCCAGGGGACAAGGTGGTGCAGCTGATCATGGAATACGTCCCCCTCGGGAGCCTCCGGGAATTCCTTCCCAAGCACCCCCTGAGCCTTTCCCACATCCTGCTCTTCGCCCGCCAGATCTGCGAGGTGGGGACCCCAAAAACTGGGGCTGGTTCCCAAAAACCGGGGCTGGGCCATCCCAAAAACCGGGGCTGGGCCATCCCAAAATGGGGGGGATTCCCAAAGAAATGGGGGTGGTCATCCTAAAAACGGGG